CAGAGCAATTCTTAGTCAAAGAGATGCATATTTAAAGTTGAGCTCCGACTGATGATAACCAAGTTACCCAACCTCATAGAGTCTCACTTCACCCAATGAAAAAACAAGTATATTTTCTTTAAGCTTTGATTTGAGAATAAAAATGTTTGCAAGAGTACTCAACAACTAAAAATTATTCCTATTCTAATAGATTGGACACCAGATTTGATTTAATAGTTATCAGGACATTTGTATAGAAATACAACTTAATGTTTAAGCTTGCTCATAACATTCCAAATTTTATATTTAAAATCTTAAGGCAGCTAATAAATAAGTCACTTTCACTGAAACAATTTAAGTGAACTCTTAAGCAATTAATGCTCCAAACTGAGTTTCTTTAGTCTTTCATGTTCTTTCTTTTTGTTATTTATTCTTTCTCTTCCATTGTTAATTATGCATCTATGATATAATACGTAAACAACATACTTAAACTGTTTAGCCAATAGTCCAGTTGTTGAGAATTAAAAATATGTTTGTAGTCATTCATGCCAGATTATATAAATGCCTTTAGCTAACGATTAAACATGTTTGGTAAAAATTAACTTATGCGCATATAACTTTTAGCCTATTTGAAAGTTCAGTGGCATGTAAATAAAGATGAGGTGTTTGCCTTTATAAAACTTACCCTAAGATTTTGTAACAGACCTACTTCTGCTTGAGGAAGTAAATTCTTTTGTAATATTTATTTAGGCAAAGTTTCTCAGGTCACTGACTGTTAAAGAAACCTAGTTATTTAAGAGTACTGTGTGGTAAAATCATAGGATCTCCTCATCTCTCCCTTTATGCTACTTTTCTGTTTTTGAGGAGTTGCAGGTTCTCAGCCTTTAGGATGGGATAGGAACCATTTTCTATAGAATACTTTTTTTCCTTTCTCCTCTGTTTATAGCTTTGTAAATAGAAACCCTTATTTTCCCTATGTATAATCTGCATTGATTCTGCTTGCTAATACTGTATGACTGTTCTCACAAGTTGTATAGTAGGAAGAGGCTTAGAGATTACTTAGCCCACTATGGAACCCAGCTTAGAAAAACACGGTGACTTGAATTCACTGGGAGATGAGTGGAAATTAAATACTGATAGCCCATGTAATATTTCAGTTTAATTTCATTATCCCATGCATCCATTTAACTTATTTAACTGCTGGATGTGAAAAATGAGTTAACCTTTTGAGCAACACTTTCCTGGGAAATATCTAAAATGTTAAATATGAGGCTAAAGTTTAGTTTGGTCTCCCAACCAATCATAAAATACCTTTTCTTTCAAATGGGTAAGAAATCTCAGGTAGTAACTTAGCAGTTAGCATTCATAGCTATATTGCTTGGCATCACATGGGGAAAATGACACACTTAGATATTGCTGGTGGGATTTATTAGCCCAATCAGTATGGGCTTACTTAACTGGATAGTCATTTAATCATTTATATGTTTTCTTTATTAGTAATGCTTACAGATTGATGAGTTAAATTTAAAATGCAACTTATTAGAAGAGCACTATCATTATAGATTCAAAGTCAAAGTTGAGTTTGCAATGGAAATAGAAAAATTTCTTATAATTGTACCCAGTGTGACTGTGGTGGTTTGTTTCTGTGATTAACCTGGTTACTCAGGACTGGTAACTTGCAAGACTAATTCTGCTAAAACTTCACAGACAATCTCTAGTACACTGTGTTTCTTTTTTTTTTTTCACATTTGTCCTTGTTCAAATCATGTTTGGGTGAAGCTATGTAGATAGGCATGACTTCTGACATTACTAGGAGAGACAGAATCTCACAACAAACTCCCCGATCTTCTGGCTCTGGTAATGTTTTCACTCTTGTTAGTTTAGTCATTCAGTGTGTGTGTGTGTGTGTGTGTGTGTGTGTGTGTGTGTGTGTATGAGGAAGAGAGAGAGAGAGAGAGAGAGAGAGAGAGAGAGAGAATGAGAGAGAGTGTGTATTAGTGTGTATATGTAAGTGTGTGAATGTGAATATGAGTGTGTGTGTATATGAGCGTGAGTGTATGTGTTCCTGGGCACATGCATATGTGTATGTGAGTGTGTGTGCATGAACATGATCATGTGTGTGTGTTACCACCAAAGCGTGTAGATCAGAAGAAAGCATTGGGAGTTGTTTCTTTCCTCCCACCCTGTGGGTCCTAGAGATTGAACTCAGGTCCTCAGGCATAGCTGCAAGTGCTTTACCTGCTATTCCTGTTCAGCCTCCTGGGTCCCATGTTCCCTATTAAACCCACAAGTCTGTCATTTCCTGCTTCACCTCTTCCCTCACCTCTGCTTTAAATCCAATATTCTCATCTGTGGCCAAAACTCTGAAGGACACCCCTTGTGAATTCCCTAGTGTTATTCACCTTTACCTACACCTCTCAAAGCTGGTGAATATTCTTTCTAAAGCACAAGCTTGACCATCTTACTTCCTTGTTTGAGGCTGTGTGGTTGAACACTTTTATGAAGCAGCCTTGAAGCACAGAAGCCCTCTCAGAATGATGTTATGGCTTGGTGATTATGACAAGTTTTTGGGCAACCTTAGTATCGGTAAAGTCTACAAAAATGCTGTCATTTATTAATGTTATGTGTTTTTTCCCTCCCTTTTTTGTATTTACTTTCTGTCTTGACATTATCTGAAGTTGCCTTAAAACCATACACCTGTATTCCTTTACCCCTTTGCAGTTACAAGTACTTTTCTCCCTTACTACCCCCGCAAAGACTAGCAGGCTTATCTCTAAGCATCCAGTGTAAGCATAACTACATTTTGTGTAAATGATCTCCCTTGATGGGATAGGCTACTTTCTCATGAACTGCTGATACTCTGTCCCTATTTCTCCTGATAGTTATCACTACTGTATTTGCATACCTGTCTACCTCTTTGAGACTATGAGCAAGCTGGGAGCAGAGACTGTGGCTCACTGACCTTTGTGCCCCGAGAAAGCTCCTGATTCAAAATAGAAATACAGTAAAAATGTTGATTGAAAACATAGAAAATTGCCGTGTAAAGACAGGATTTTTTTTTCACAAATGCAATGTACTTTGCATTATTTGGCTCAATGTTGTTGCAATAATCTTTATTAAACTTTAAAAATTTATTTTAATTTACATGTATGGATGTTTTGGCTACATCTATGTCTGTGTACCATGTGAGTACCTAGTGCCTATGGAGGCCAGAAGAAGGCATAAGATTTCCCTGGAACTGGATTTACAAATGGATGTGAGCCATCATGGAGGTGCTGGCAATTGAACCTGGGTCCTCTGGAAGAATAGCAGGTGTCTTTTCAACACCTGAGCTATCTTTCCAGCCTCAATGATATTTTTCTTTTCATTTTAATGTTTGACTTATTATTGGATACTTTTATACAATATATTTTGATCAGATTCTTTCCCCTGACCAAATTTTTCTCAGTCCTTACTGATATTTCTACCTATCTGACTTCATGTTCTTTTTCTGTCTTAAACAAATAAACAGCCACAAAAAACATGGAGTAAAATTAGTGTAGTCATAGGACCCGCCCTGGAATGTGGTTTATATGCCAAATATCATTATATTGAAAAAAAACTAATTTTCCCCTTAGAACCGATCATCTGTGAATAGCCTCTTGTCTAGAGGTGGGTCTTTTGCCTACTTGCCCTTCTTCATCCTGAGATTTTTGTCTCGATTTTGCTTGGGTGGGTCTTGTGCTTCCTGTCAGTCTCCGTGAGTTTGCATGTGCATCTTCCCACTGTGTCTGGAAATCACCTCTGGCTCTTACACTCTTCTTGTCCCTTCTTCTCTATAGATCACTGCTCTCTGAGGGTAGGAATGTGATTTTTAGACTTCCAGTTTTGGACTGGGCACTCCAGTTTCTTACTTTGTACATGTTTTCCAATTGTGTGTATCCAATCTACTGTATTTGTGTTGAGAACTTGAGTGATGCACTAACCAATGGATCTAGCTGTATGCCATTTGGTGCCTTTTTATGTGATATTCCTTTATGTTATGCTGTGTTCTTTAGATTTTCCCTTGAGGCCCATGACTTGTCTAGTAGCTCTTGACCTTATAAACAGTGTCAAGTTTGGTTTACATGTCATGCAGGAGGCTTTAAATCCAATTAAAAAGTTATTTGTGCTACTGTTACACCATGGGCATATCGTGCAGGCAGGTCATAATTGTAGCTCACAGTGTTCTTAGTTGGGCGAGATTGATGTCTACTTTTCTGTTCCTGTAGTGTTTACTAACCAGGAAAGGGAAAGTTGTCAGTTGAACACCAGCCAGATTCCTCAGTGTTTTATATGATAAGAATGTGGTGTCTTCAGCAACATGATCTTACTGTCAAGTCATAGAAGGTAAAAAATAGAATTGGCAATAGCCTTTAATGCTTGGGATGTCTATGTTGACCTCTTTGACAAAGCCTAAAAAATATATATAATCTAGTTCTGATTCTGGGGTTTTTTATGGTATTCAATAATCTTCCTTATACATTTTCTTTAAAATTTATTTCTCTGGATTTGTAATGGTTTCTCTTATCTTAAAATGATATCCCACATGAGTTTTCTTTCTTATGTTGAGACTATCTACTGATGTGGAGAAATTAATGTTTTGTCCTACTGATTTTATTGGCTTAAACCAATCAATAAACAATACCTAATTTATAAATTATAGAGATTTTAAGTGAGGAGTATAAATATGTTGACTTTTCATAGAAAGATAAAAAGAAAAGATAGACATAGAAATGAAATAAATTTTATGTGGCTTGAGGACTGATATAGATTTTTGTACTATTTATAAACATGATTTCAGGTAGTTGGAAATAAAAGCTCTGTGACCATATAAAATAAAATTTTAAATCTGACCATAATGATTGGTTTCTATGTGATAACTATATTGTCATTCAGACCAAAGAAGCACAATTGTTGACCTCAGAATGTTTAAAAAAAACATTTCTTTTATCTGAGATGCTATGCCATTATAGTCTGATTGCTGTGATGTGTTTTTATAGGACACTAACCAGTGCTGGTAAGGAACTACATGATAATTTTCTGAAGGCCCTAGCAATAAGAGAAGAGGATAATCGCAATGGGAAAGTGAGCGTGAGTACATCTTACCCCAAAATTGAAATGTATTTTCAAATACATAGTAAATATGGATGATAGAGCCTGAAACATCTTACATAAAAAGTAGTTTATGTACAGGCAAGAGAGATGGCTCAGTAGGCAAAGGAGCTTGCTGTTAAATTAGGTCATCAGGACCCACATAGTGTCAAGGGAGAGCTGACCAGATGGAATTGTATTGTCCTCTGCATGCATGCCACAGCACATGTGCACCCCACACCCACAAAATAATAAATGTAATATAAAAAGTGACTATATTTATATATTATAGTAATATGTGTAGGTTTTAAATAATCACATTTATAAAAGTAGCAAAATGGTAAAAAAAAAAAAGGTAAGATTCTAAACATTTTCAATGGGGAAAATGAATGTGTCTGTTCAACTGGTTATTATCTCCCACTTGTGCTAATCCTAGGTTAAATAGTTCTAGTGAACGGTTGCCTCCAAGTTCCATAACCCACTGAGTTCCAAACTTTCTTCCATGTTGTTTTCAAGAACAGCCTGAAAGATACTTTTGTGGTCTGCTTTACAGGTCTCTATTTTCTGACATCATTGCTTCTAATGATCTATATTATACACCTATGAATTGTTCCCCTAGAAGACTTCCTTAAGTGTTACTTGATATCATAAATACATAATTTTTAATCATAGCTGGGTAGTCACTGGTTTGAAAACCATCATATTGTCATACTTCTTGGCCATGAGAAAATTGTGTGACCATCCATTTACAGGATGAGAAGTGTCATACTGAGTTTAGAGGGTGTGGATGTAGAGCATTGGTATTGTGCAGGGGTTAAGAGAATCTGGAGGTGGAGCGTGACTATCGTCAAGGTCAGTACTCATGGTTTGCTCAATACAACAGATCTTAAAATGTCTCTAAATGAATTAGGCAGGTTCATGTGTTTTCATAAGCCATGTTGTCCTGTTGTGTAATGTGGTGTTTAAAAGAATATTCTCCTTTTAATATTGATTGAGTTTGGAAACAAAATAGAAGCACTTTGCACAATGCATGATTCATTAAGTATTTATTATTTAATGTGCTATATGGAGTATATTTATAGCCACCAAAGTTAGAATTGTGAATGAAGTAAATATAGACAATATTGTAACATTTTTTTGCTAGTGTATAAGGGATGGGCTTAATAAATTTTAATTTCTCTTTAGAAAAGACAGTTGAAAGGGCTCTCCATGATGATTACACATTTTGTTAGGGATCTAAAGATTGTTCATTATTGGTAGGATACAATACAATCAGAATATTAACGGTACAATTTATAGAGTGTATTTATGCTATAGGAAGCATTTGTTCTTTTTATTAATGCTTCTCTCTGTGCAAATCACTCATGTTTGCACAAACATGCATAAGATGTAGGTTCTCTCTACATTTCTGTTGCCACAAGTTTATGTAACTCTTGTGAGTGGACAAGTAGGTACATAATTTTTCAGATGGTAATAATCTAAAAATTTTTGACTTTATTATCTCACAAGAGTTTAACAAAAACTATGACATCTTGCTGTCATAACTGTCATGTTCTTGGTGGGTACCTTCATGGCACTTATCTTCCCCTCCATGTTGAGTTTGTAAACAGCTACATGGCTGGCTAGTTTGACCTTTGAAATATGTATTATTGAAGCTGGCATAAAAACGCTATTTACAACTTTCCATTCATGGCCATTCAAAGAAGCCACTGTAACTGGAACAGGAAAAACCTATGAATTAGGTACTTTCAAATATATCCATATCCTGTGTTGAAATCTCCATGAAACATAAGATTGCATTGTGTGTGACCAATTACATTGTGCTGACATGATCTTTTCCCTCCTTTCTATCTTCAAACTTCTCTAAAATGTTTCCTTTCAAGAAAACAAAGGTATCAGAGAGATGCTTACTTCCTTTTTTAATAGAAGCCATGCCTGTCTGCTGTAAACCATTGTGGAAATTGTATGATTCATAAAGTCTTCCCCTCATTACAAACAGGTTACCTCAACGCTTGGAAAATAAAATGCATATCCAACTTCCCTTTAGCTAGAAAAGTAGAGTTGAATGGATCTTTATCTTTAATTCATTTGTATTTGGGTAAAAATATGATATGTGGACATTATGACAAAGGTGAAACACCAGAGGTTATGTAGCCATATTATCTGTGTTTAGTTTTTGGATTGACCACTTATTACAGGCTAAATGTGTGTACTTTTACTTTATACAGCCTGAGTTTTTTCATCTGCAATTTTAAGAATTTTACACTGATGAGATATTGCCATATTAAAATAACATAATGTATAAAGCATACATATATGTATAATGCTTAGATGTTTAGGATCCCTAGAAACAAAGCCCAGTTTTCTGATGTGAAACCTGTAGGGGCTAGAGAAAGTGTGATGATGTGGGCAAAGAAGCTTAGCAGAGATGTGACCTCAGTCCAATCACACAGGAAACTCTATGAATTGTGTCACTAAGTCTCTTCTGCTTTAAAGCAAGGGAACTATGACTTTATCCACTCTGGTCTGCTTCTTCTCTGTTAGTTAATCAACAGCTGTCACAGAGGCAGGAGGTAGCAAAAGTCAGACCATCCTTTTGAGGGAGGTACAGGTAAGAAGAGGAACAATTAGCTGTTAGCACTTGCCAAGTCTGTAGTTGAGTGGTAGGGCCCAGGGCAGGGACCTAGGAGAAACATCATTTGCCACAGATCTCTACAGCTGCCATTTTCATCTCCATTACTTTCCTTTGCCCACTCTCCCTGTTAGAAGTAAGTAAATTATAATAGGAGATACTTACCTCTCACGTATATGGATCATTTATGAAGTTAATGTTAAAGGGTATATACACCCAGAATTTTCTAGATAAGAGACCATGACTATAAAAATTGCTATCTTTCCCTGGCTGTTTGGCTCTTCCATTGTTTCTCAGCCTGTAATAAGGCAGAGAGTCACAGGGGGATTGTATAGTGGAGCAGAGCTGCTCACCTTAGGGTGGCCAGGAAGTAGAGAGGACACAGTCCTGGACTGGACAGGCCACACTGTAATCTTGTCAAGTAACTGCTTTCTTCAACTAGATCTCACACCATAATTTCCACCACCTCCAAAACTGGTATTGATTCATCAAAGGAAAAAGTCCATTGATTTGGTGACAGCCCTCAGAATCTAATAACCTCCAAAGCTGACAATTAAGCCCCCAACATAAACCTGAGACAACATGTTAGACTCAATTCATAATAACCATAAAAAATAATTACATGAATGAATTAAAAATCTAGTTTGAATATCTGGAAAGATGTTAACTAACGAAAACTAAAGAAATTAGGGAGATGAACATTTTTAAAAATTACCCAAGAAATAAAAATTAAGAAGAAATGACAGTCTTAGAAAACAATTTTGCTTTTATTTTTGAGACTAATTTAATTACAGTGTTTCAATTCAGAAAAGGGGGGCTTTTTTGACATGTTTGTTGGTGCCATCCTTGTTCAGTTCACACTTGGGGGGTCATTTGGGTGAAACTTCATGGGTATAGCTTTTGATGTTTCGAGGAAAGACAGTCTCACAGCAAAGTCTCCAGTCCTCTGACTTTCACAATCTTTCTAACCCCTCTTCTATAGTGTTCCCTGAACTTTAGGTACAAGAGTGTTTTGTAGATGTAGCCATGGAGACTGGGTTCTACAACTCTGCATTTTGTTTTGTTGTGGTTTTCTGTAATGGGTTTTTATCTGTTGTCTAGAGAAATTTCCTTGATGAGAGGTTAAGACTACACTTACCTGTGGGTATAAAGACACACACACCAGGAACAGAGGAATGCAACAACGATGCAGTGATTTCTTTTCCTCCCTATCTGTCCTAAGTGGAGAATTTATAAAGTGGTCTTGATATATGGACCAGTAACCTGTTTAGATGATAATTAACTGAGCTTCTTATTCCTTTTATCCACTCCTGATTCCTAAAGAGAGGATAGATTTCAGAAGGGAAGGACCTCTAAATTAATGTGTGTGTGTGTGTGTGTGTGTGTGTGTGTGTGTGTAAGAAAGAGAGAGAGAGAGAGAGA